ACCACATAGTTGCCTCTGCATTGAGAAACCATTTGACTAGGATAACTGTAGCTAATGTCCGGGGACGGCCCTTGATCAGAACTATACTGATAGCTTTCACTACCTGATGGGATATTGACACATGCATTTCTACTTGGATGCAAGTTTCTTTGAGAGCAATTACGCTATATGTCCATATCCGCGACACAAATGACATTGTCGACGCTTGCGCGTTCCACCTTGCCTTGCTTGAGTACCTTTTGTCTTAACAATATTTGGATCTTTCACAATATTTGTAGGACATTGGTCAGCAGTACCCAATTTTAGACTTGTCTCTTTTTCCTTTTGCCGTAAGCCTTCACAAATTCCCTCCCATCTACTAAACACATTCATCAACATGGCACGCACTCTTCGATGCATAAAAACAAACTTTGTTTGACATAGCATTTAAACTTCCATACCTCGCCATTTCTACAACTTCGTTGGTAGTGTCTTTACCTTTGCCGATAAATTCCATACATGTATCAGTTTAGGCACTCTTTGTCCATCTCTTCATTATGAGTGCTGGAGGAATTTCCGGAAGGTGCTCGGACTTCATTACATAAAACAGGTGGCAACACGGGATCCCTTCACTTTCATATTTCCGGCATCCACACTCTATCCGCATATTTTCCCCACCGTGGTAAACACAAGTCCAATTATTATGCGGTTCATCATATTTGGACAATACGTATACACGACCTCCAAAATTACGCATCACATTATCATGGGTGAGTGCTGAACAAGATTCGATCTCATGACGTACCAATACAGAGCACCTATGCGTGTAAATCAGAGAAGCTTGTTGCTCTAGTTTTGTCAATGCGGTTTTAAGGACTGGTGTTGAGTACTTTGCGTTGAAACCAACCTTCGCCGTGTTATTCCTAAGATGTAATATAGCCCTATCGATTGCTAGAATACATTCAAACAACTTCACGCCTTTCCTCAAGTAATCTTTCACATACTTGTTCATGGACTCCACA